GAAAAGGAAAGAATGGATCAGGCTGTTGTGCTGGGAAACTAGTGGACTCCCTTGGTTACTCATATTGAAAGTCAGGCCATTGTCTTTCAGTGAATATTGACCAAGTGCTTACCAGGCACCAGGACCCAGGAATTCAGCAGTGGGTGACCCCCTGCCTCCTGTAATCTCCCAAATTAGTAGGAATAAGAGACAGACAAGCTGATTTAGAAGAATCAGCTCCCCTCCCCTTTCTCTGCCCTTTGTAGGTTTGCTCTAAATAGGATATAATACATCTCCTGTCCCAAATGCCTTCCTTGTGTATAGATTCAATGAGAAGGGTGCCGTGCCTAGGAATTTGATCAGACCCAGGGTTTAAAAAGAAAGCACGGATTTAGTTTTAAATTTTCTATTTCTTCTCAGTGTTTCTATAGCTAAAGGTGGTCCACAGGAGGAGGGAGCACCTCTACTGGGTGGGACTTGGCCATGGGCTGGCAGGCCCTTGAGGTGGATGGTTGACGAAAGGAAGTGGTGTCTATGGCTGCTCCCCAGAACACTGTCTCCAAGGCGGGCCGGGAGGGGGATGAGGGTGTCAGGATGTGTGAGCGTGTGTGGCTGGTTCTGTTGAAGCACACGCCCCCCACCTCCACACCCTCACTCCCAGTTTGCAGGGGTTATACCGGACAAACAGCTCAGGCCACAAGACACGTTGCTGACGATTTTGTCCTGTGGATGGCCCCGGGGCGGGGGGGGGGGGAAGGGAAAGGACAGATCCTCCCTTCCAAGCAGAGCTTAACTGAATACTTTTCAGGGAGAAAAGAAACAGTGTCACATCAAGCAAGCATCTTGGGCCCATCTGTCAGCACCCCCTGAGAACCAGATCTAAAACGTTATCTAAGACAAGGCAGCACCGACCTCTTTTCCCTCCTGAAACACAGGGCAGAACCACTTGCTGTTCCTATGACAATTTTCTGCTCCCTAGGATCCCCCACCCCAAATAATAATCATGAACAAAAATCTCATTTTCAGGGGAGGTAAGGGAGGAAGAACGAGAGGGAAAGTTGGTCCTGATCAGAGAGAAAGATGGGGGACCCTTCTCACGCAGGAGTGCGTGGATTTCAGAAACAGTGCTGACCTAACAGATGGCCACAGGGGCACACACCTGCCTGGGAGCCTGCTCCGTCCCCCGGAAGGCTTGGTGGCGGGACTGGCCCCCCCCCCCGGGGGGGGGGGGGGGGGGGGGGGTTGCCAGGATCTCTGAGGCTGAGCACCCACTCTAGAAGCTCACGTCCAGCTTAGGCAATCTATTTAACCTCACTGTGCTTCAGTTGCCTTATTTGTCAAAAGGAAATAACAAAATGACCTATTGCAGAGAGGGGGTTTCTTTTTTGTATATTTTTATTCAAGTATAATTAACACAGTGTTATAGTAGTTTCAGGGGGACAATATAACAGTCCCACAATTCTGTACTTTTCTCTGTCCTCATCGAGATAAGTGTACCTTTGAAGTGAGTTAATGTTATAAGGTGCTTAAAGCAACCAGTACCCGGCACAAGGTGCTGAGGGAGTGTTTGTTCAGAAAATGGCCTGAAGTCACGCCCAAGCCAAGTCACTTGCCCCAGGGGAGGGCAGCTGTTGGATGGCCAGGACCCCCAGAGCTGCCTGTGGCCAGCCTGTCTGGTGCAGTGGGCCTCCAGCCGAGGTGTGACGAGGAGGGGGAGGACGGTGATGTCAGAGGAGAAGGTCTATGTGCTCTTGCTGCACAGCCTGGGTAGGAAAAGAGGGCAGGGGCCAGAGGGAGGCACGATTTGTCACCCAGTTTGCAAGGCTGAGATTGGAGGATGTTCAACAGCCCCAGGCTGGTACATTCCTCCGGTTCCCAGGTCATTTCCTGGTCCAGGAGGTATTCCTAGAGTGAGCTTGAGCCAGAGGAGAGGGTTTATCCCGTGTCAGCCCCATAAATATTCCTCTGGTTTTACAACCCCTTTCCTTGCCAGCCGGACAGGGGCCAATAAATACTTGCAGAATATATCTGATTCCTGCTAGAAGGTTCCTCATTACTTGCTATCTCTTTGTTATATCTCTCTGGTCTATAAGCTGATGCTCAGATTAAATAATTTTGGGTCCATCATCTCAGTTCCTGTGTCCACCTGCTCTTTGGAGCCCCATCTTCTACCTACAGCCTTCTCTATCCCTTCAGCAGGGATGGCCGACACGAGGCATTCTGTCAGCAGCTCCTCCTTATGGCTTCCTGGAGCAGTATCACTGATGGACCTTGGTGTTCTTTACCGAGCTCATTGAGTCTCCTCAGTGGCCTTAGTTAGCCAGCCACAGCCAGCTGGTTGTTCACTGTCCTGTGAGCCTCCTCCTCCACCTGATGGTCACATCCTGTTCCTGTACCTGCTTGTAATTTACCCATTTCTGCTCCAGCAGTGACCATCGCTGAAACCTTTAAAGCGCTAATCCCACAACAGGACTATTGCAACAAAAATAGCTCTCCTTTGCAGCCCAGACACGAGGCATAGAGTAGGTGATCTATATAAATGCCGATCAAATGATGGATGGGATCACAGCCACTCATTTTCAAGGACTTATGGAAGAGTGGGATTATTTTGGTCCCCAGACTCCATCTGTTCTGGAAGTTAAAAATAAAATGAGAATTCAATTAAAACTATGCACACAATCCACCCAACATTGTGCCAGATCTTCTGATAATACCCTACTTTCCAGCCTATCAGAAACAGAAGTGCATGTGAGACATTAGAGAAGTGCATTAGACACATTAGAATGTCAAATTGCTTTAATTAAAGGATTCATCAGCGTATATGCAAATAGCAAAGTTTTTTGTTTATTTGTTTTTTAAGGAGCATATCTTGCCTTCAAGCTTCTTGCTCCTATTTTTCTGCAGAGGGAAGGTCTGCAAAAGATGTAAGGAACTCGGCTACTTAGTGTCTTCTGTTCCATGTGTCTCCTTTGAGGATAGTCAAGGTCAATGGACGGGGGCTCCGCAGTCACTTAGGGTTCTGTCTCTAGTGCTCATTATGAAGATCAGTAAACCAGGGCCATGGCAGAGCCCATTCCACAATTCTTGTCTAGAAAGAAACCTCTAAAGGGTATACCCCCTACAGCTTAGTGGTCCCCCTCTAATCCCAATTTTGCTGAGGATTCAGAAGAGACGTTTTCCTTACTAGATGGATGGCTTTCATGTGCTTCCCCTAAATGGCTTTTAGTTTTGACTAAAGGAATCCATTACATTAGCTGATGCATTAATCCCATTACAGTGTCACTTCTCATTTTTAAGATCCAGCTTCTGAGAACTGATGATATAAATAGGGTAACGATAGCTTCTAATGGTAGGGCTCATTTCTTTTCAGTTAATGTGCCCGGAAGAGCAATATTGCAAACAAGCCGCATCCCTGCCAGTGCCCAAACAGGTAGGTGACCCCCTGAGAGTGCTGGGGGAGAGGCGGATGGGAATATTGAAGAGAAAGTCCAAATATCCCCAGAGAGGCTATCAGATGACCCCTGGATTTGCTTCCATTCCTGAGGTTCTAAGTGATTCCCTCAGCCATCCCTTCAAATACTTAAGAGATTGGTCATCACCAGAGGCAGGTGGGAGGTGGGTGAAATGGGTAAAGATGATCAAAAGGTACAAACTCCCAGTTATAAGATAAAGAAGAGGATAAGATAAGATAAGCTATAAGATAAAGGGGATTGATGTACAGCACAGCAACTGCAGTTAACAACACTGTAGTGTATCATCTAAAGTTACCAACAGAGGAGATCTTAAAAGTTCTCATCACAAGAAAAAAAATTGTAACTATGTGAGGTGATGGGTGCCATCTAGACTTATTGTGGTGATCATATTGTACATATGCAATATATACCTAATATTTTTGAATATACCAGGTGCTTACATTGTATACCTTAAACTAATACAGTGTCATATGTCAATTGTATCTCAAGAAAGCTCGGAATAAAAATGACAGGTGCAGAAATTGCTTACTGTTCCCCCTTTGAACCATCATACCCTTTGCTCCTCTTGGTAATAGAAACTCCAGTGTTTTAAGGGGCAATGGCTGTTCAGCTGGAGACTTTATGTCCCAGCACCCTTTGCAGTCAGAGTAAGTTGAGGCCAATGGGCTATGAGAGAAAGCCATTCTTGCAATTTCTGGGTTGTGCCTTTAAGGGAAGCTTCTGGCTAGCTATAATACTTATTATCATAAATACCTCTGGCACTCAGAGAGATAATCTTTTACTGCTTTTTGACTCCCAGGCCAAGCACATATGTACATAAGGTCTTATCACATATCTCACGCTGTTGTAAGAAACTTCTAGATCTTCCAGGCTCTTTGTGGAGCTGAGTTCTCAGTCACATTTGCCTGCCCAGCCCTGAGCAGCAGCCGTTGTTCCTGCCACAGTAGAGAGTTCCCATAAATGTCTGCTAAATAAAAGAAGAAATTAGGGAATACCCTGTACAACACCCGGTCTTTCTGTTGATTAGGGTCAATTTACGAGATGTTGCAAGGATCACAGAAAACATGTCATTTGTTTTTGCTAGTGACTCAGAGTTGTTGATAGCAGTTGATTTTATTTCAAGAATCAACCCCTCTTCTCACCACACCCACCCTGTACACATTAGAGAATGTACCCAAGCCTTCATGTTCCTACCATCTCTTAAATGTCCAGATATCTAGCCAACGATGACCTTTTATTTTCAGGAAATTTTTTTTTAGTGCATTATTGCATTATTTGGCTGATGGCTTCATGTCAGTTTCAGATAATTCAGTAGCTGCTTTATAGGAAGTGCAGCTTGAAAAAGAGGCTGATCAAATATGTTTCTCTATTGTGATTAGGGCAGGGACCCTGCCTTGTAGCAAGACAATAAAGTAGCATTGTGCTGTACCAAGATAATCAAGTGACATTTTGGAGGGATAAAAACCACAGTAGTTCTGTGGTAAATAATGGTTATCGTTTGGCCGAATTTTCACTTGGACACAATAAAGACAAAAGAGAAACTTCTTGCCTTCCTTCTGTTCTCTTCCAGTTGGTATTATTTTCTAAAAAATCCTGTATCTTCCAAGTGGAGGTCATCCACTGGTACAAACTGGATTGCACCATCTGAGGTAAATTAAGTGGCCGGCATCAATCTTTCACACCTTAATAAAAAACAGGCCAAAGCTGATTCAAGTCAGAAAGAAAAGCAAAGTCCCTACTCTGTCTTATTCCATGGCACCGAAGTGCACATTCTTTAGACATAGAACTTTTTAACCAATCCTGACAGAGATGAATATGTCACGCCGTGAAGCAACTCTAAATGTGGACTTTAAACTGGCGTCCATTATTTGTCAACAAAGTGAAGTAGAATACTCAACACCTAGTAGCACAGAATCTTCAACACAGAAGGTAGTAAGGTATGTGAGCTTGTGAATAGCTCTGATTTTAGGGCTACAAGGAGCTGTCTTGTAAATGGAGATGCTGTAGCACAGAGACGCCACAAACCCACAACCAAGAGCATGAGAACTTGAACCCAAGGCCTCTGAGCCCAGGTAGTTTCCACCACCTCACGCTCTTTACTAAATACCAGGGTCTATTACTTGATATAGCAGCCTCCAGAATACTAACAAGAAGCCAGCCCAATGCCTTGGAAAATGAAAACCATCTTGAAAGTCTGTCCCCTGATTTCTTTCATTTATAGATACCTCTCCCTGGGAGGAGAGGGTGGTGGCCGTGGGAAGTAACACACATTCAGAGTTTAACGGGAACGAATAGTGCAAGCCGACCAGAGGGGTCTCTTTAGCTTAGCTCGGTCTCCCCTTGCTTTTACTAGAATGCTCTAAATTCTAGGTGTTTACATAGGAGTAAAACATTCATTTAGTGTCTCATGAAATTTTACTTTCACCATTAATTCAAATAGCCTAGAGGGAAAAGTAGTTGTAGGGATTGAAATCTGCCCAAAGAGATGACAAATTGAGTGTAGGGGTGAGGTTTCCCAGGATCCTACTCTCAAGATATTCCCAAGGTCGGGAAGAGAGGATTGTCAAGAACTACATACAGGAGGCCACACTGAGGGGACACAGACCAGCCAAGGGACAGAGAAGTAGGTGTATCTGAAGATAGACAGAGGGACAGACCCAAATGGTATTAGAAATAGCATTAAAAAAAATTCTTTGAAAAGAAACTTACTTGTAAATGATGAAGGATTTAATACTACTACCACTAATAACAACAACAACGACAGTGACTAGAAATAAGAACTTTAATGTGGTTTATGGGCACCCATCCCTATGTGCTGCTTTCCTAGCCTTTTTTTCCTTCCAGCGAGGTTTCTTCCAGTTGTTTGAATGCCTTGATTCTGGGCACTCATACACGTTCCTTCTTCTGTGGGGCACGTGGTCTCCCATTTCCACCACCCCTTTAACCTGACAAATTCTTACTTACCCCTCAGGTCTCACATGAAACAGCTGTTCCTTGGGGAAACTTGCCCTGATTCCCTGAGAGGAATCACGATCCCCCCGTTTTATGTTCTCAGGACAGCTTACAGTTTTTCCTAACAATCGTGGTAGTTTTAATCTTGCTCAGTGCATCTTCTGTGAGACACCCCCTGCCCCCAATTCCGTGAGGCCAGGACCATGCCTGTGCTCCCACCTCACAGCACAGTGCCCGGTGCAAGGGTATTCGGTAGATACTGTTGAACCAATTACTGTCAAACACAATGACATCTGGATGGTATTTTCTGGTGAATAAAATATGTTCACTTCACAGGGAAAGGGGGCATAATTTAGTAGCTCCCTGAAACTACCAGAACTTATATACAGTGAATTCTCATTGATCTCAGGATAATCCAGAGCATTGGAAGAATGACCCGTGACCTTGATGGAGGTTTACCTTTCTGTGAGAATGATCACTTAGCTTGTATTACTAAATCTCACAAGGGCTAATGGGGGAGGGTGGGAAGACTCGGGCAGAGGGAAAGCTGAAGAGAGGGACTTCTGGAGCCATCTGAGCAGGTTACTGGTCACACAGCTGTGTGTGAGGAAAACCCCTTCCTCTCAGCTGGGCAAACTCCAGGCCCCCTTCACCTTCAGGCTGACATCTTCGTGGGCTAGCACCATGTAGCTTTACCCCCGCGTCCAGTCCAACGTGCTTTGTAAACATCACTGGCAGCAGGCTGCTCAAAAAGAATGTCAGACGAATCACTCTCTGACCTGGAGTTTTAATATTTCCTATGTCTCCTACCTTTGGAAAAACAAAATAAGTATGTCCCTGGATTGCGCTTAGCTTTTAGGAAATGGTGAGGTGAAATGTCACTTCTGCATTAACCCAGGTCAAGGAGCTGTTATATAGAAAATTGACTAACTGGGGGCGCCTGGGTGGCTCAGTCAGTTAAGCATCTGACTTCGGCTCAGGTCATGATCTCACAGTTCCCGAGTTTGAGCCCCACATTGGGCTCTGTGCTGACATCCTAGAGACTGGAGCCAGTTTCAGATTCTGTGTCTCCCTCTCCCCCACTCACACTCTGTCTCTCTCAAAAATAAACATTAAAAAAATATATATTAAAAAAAAAAAGAAAATTGACTGGCACCAAAGTCATCAGTGTCATGAATATAGCAAAAATGAGTTCTTACCTCCCTCTTGTTGCTCTTACAAACCTTTGACCATCTTGCAGATAAGCCTGGGAGGGGAGACCTTGTGTGGAGAGGCCTAAGTCAGCCCTGGTGTCCCAGACAAGGCTGTCATAAAGCACCAGCCCAGCTGACCCACCAGCTGACTGCTAGCCCGTGAAAAACCCCAGCTGAGACCAGCCAAGCCTGGCCGAGACAGGAAGACTGCCCAAGTGAGCCCAATCAGCAGAACTGTGGGGCGAACAGATGACTGTTGTTTCAAGCCACTGTATTTCAGGATGGTTTGTCTCCTTGCAATAGCCAGCAAATACAAGGGCCCTTGAGCAGCCTGGTCCCTGCATACATACAGCATCATTGGCCATGCCAATCTTCAGGGACTGATGCATTAAGATCCAGAGCAGACAAAACTGTGGACAGTCCAGGTCTCATACAAGGGCTATGACAGAACACACTCGAGACAGTTGATGAGGCTACTGTTTCCCTAGCTTCCTAGTAGCAGGGTCTGTGGTACTGCTGTGTTTTCCGGTTAGACAAACGCCGACTTTTCAATACTGAACACTCTGTTGCTCTTCCCTCCTGGGCTCTCTGGTCAAGTGACAACACTGGCTTACCATTTCCTCTCCCAGGCTCAGCCCAAGGGAGCCATTTGTGGGTAAATGCGATTATTTCACCAGCCCCACCCTGGGCCTGTAGAATACTATACATCTGTCAAAATCATCTTAGGCCACATTTTAGAGAGCTCATCTAGAAATTGTTAAGGGTTTTGGTTCCACTTTTCCGCTAAGATACCCCAGGGAGAGTGTTTTGTCTCTGTAGCAAGTAGCTGTTGATGCTTCTGACAGGATGCCATAATTGGAACTATCTGTACATGATTCTGTGTCTCACTCTATGTAAATTCTTCAAAATCAGAGATTGCACCTTACTTATCTTTGAAATCTCCATGCTTATTGTGAAGCCTAACGTATAACAAATTCTCTGTATATTGCATGGGATGAATGAAATTGGTGAACCAGTGAACTGTGTGCTCTGGGCAGGCCCAGTGTCCTCCTGATTCAGTGATGGGACCAAATGTGAGCATGCTGGATTCCTTTTTGAACAACAGATTTCTGCCTTTTGAACCCCTTTGAAACAGCAGCGGGTTTCCCTGGTTTCTTTGGGCTTACGAGATTTTTGCCTTCTGGCTCACCCCGGTGTGTGGAGTCTTAACTTACATGTAATAAAATCCAATGTAGGGATTTTTAATTTACCTCATTAGTCCTACAAAAATAAAGATTAAGCATTAAGGGAAAATAAATTGAGACAACATCTGAAGACCTCTGGGTGCAGATAAAGGGAGAGCTATGGTTATTATAAGGGGTCTTGTGCTAGATGTTTCTTTCTCCATGAAACCAAACCTTAACACCTCACTTAAAACAGACACTTGCCACGCTAACTTCTGGCAGTCCAAATCCTGTTGATTCTGCTCTATTTTTTAAAAAAATATTTATTGTCAGTGCACCTGGGTGGTTCAGTCAGTTGAGTGTCCAACTCTTGATTTTGGCTCAGGTCATGAGCCCAGGGTCTGGAGATCGAGCCCCACATCAGGCTCTACACTGAGAGAGGAGCCTGCCTGAGGTTCCCTCCCTCCATCTTCCTCTGTACCTCCCCTGCTTGTTCCCTCTCTCTCTCTCTCTCTCTCTCTCTCAGATGAAAAAAAAAAAGTATTTATTGTCTTCAAAGATACCGTAAGAACACTTGTCAAATACTAGGTGCTCAAAAAATACTTGCTCTATAAATGAATATATCCATGGCCCTGTAGTGGGCTGAATTCTAAGATAACCTCCAAGAGTCTCAACTCCTGGTAAGCATACTCTGTGTAATCACCTCCCCTTCAGTGTGGGCAGGCCTGTGGATAGGTTATCACTCCTACTTTCACAATTAGGTTACACTCTATGGCAAGGGTGAAGGGATATTACAGATGTGATTAAGGCCCCTAAGCTGATCAGAAGAGATTATCCTGGGTGAGCCTGACCTAATCAGAAGCTGCATTCTGCCCACAGCCCCTGAGCTCAGAAGAGAAGCTGTCTTGGATAAGGTTGCAGTCTCAGCCAACACCTTGACTGTGGCCGTATGAGACCCTGAGAAGGAGACCCGCTTCGGCTGTGCCTGGACTCCTGACCCACTTGATAATTCTGTGCATTATTCAGTGCTCATCACAAGAAGTGTATGCTGTGTTAAGTGTGAAGTGTGTATCTGAACTCACGGAGTGTTGAAGAGAGTGTCCCAGAGGAACCAAGCAACTCCTGGGACCTTTCTCCCAGGTAAGAAAGAAGCCTGCAGCCCCATGTATCAGTCCCTCTCTTTGTGTTTTCAATCTGCTCCTCACCACTAGTTTCTTTTCTCCAACCTACAAATAGACCCCCCGAGTCAGGAACCCAGCTGTCTACCAGACACAGAACCTCCTGAATTTCTGATGGGCAACTCAAGCAGAACCCATGCAACCTGGAATCCATCAGGGGCTACTTCCCTACCCCGTCTACCCCCCTCCCCAGACCTGTTCTGTACTAATATATACACACACTCAGCTTAAAAACCTTTTCTCAGAAGCAGAAGTTCATATAAATGCCTATTAATTCTCACTGTTATTAATGTCAAAGGAACATGTTTTCTATTAATGAAAAAGTCAGCTCAAGCATTAAGCTGGTGATATTGGTAACATAAATCATATCACGTAGATAACTGTAAACTCTGCCAGGACACTAATAAAATATAAAATTTCTAAAGTGACTAGAAACTTGGAAAGAGCTTACACATCAGCTGTCTCTATACCTGGCTGGTTCTTGATTATTTACGAAAATCATCTCAAACCACCAATAGCACTCATCATGTTTTTAAAAATCAGTGTGAGGAGAGGGGCGTCTGGGTGGCTCACTCGGTGAAGCATTGTCTGACTCTTCGTTTTAGCTCAGGTCCTGGGGCTCGGGCTCTGCTCTGGGTGTGGAGACTGCTTGGAATGCCCCCCCCCCTCTGCCCACCCCACTTGCACGTGTGCATCTCTCTGTCAAAAAAAAAAAATCAATATTATGTGAAGGGAGATTTTTAAATATAAAAAGTATACTTTGATGTAATAAAATAGTACATCGAGGTACACTGAGCGGAAACATATAAAATTGGTGTTCACCTCCTGGGCCATAAGCTCTGTGACAGCAAGACAGTTCATATACTTTGTCCTTCACTCCATCACCAGCACCCAATATAGTGCTGGGTGCACGATTAATATTCAACAGATATTCATTAAATTAACAAATCAATGTGACAATTTGATGTAAGGGGGTAGAGTAATCTCTGTAACGAACAGACCTCAACTTATGCTTATGTTTTTAGTCGTGTAACAATACCGAGGAGGTGAAAAGCCTCTGCAAAGTCACTTGAGGACCTAAGCTCTTGGAGACTCTGTTATCTTCACCTTGTAGCTTTGATTAATGCCATGGAAGCTGTCTCCATTCCAACCAGCCGGAGGAGGAAACAGAGCACGGAGGACTGCCCCCTGAAGTTTATGGGTCAAGCTTGAAATCAGCGTACGTCACTTCTGCCCACATTCCAGGGGCTAGCACTCAACCACAGGGCCACACATTACTGTAATGGAAGCTAGGACATGGAATCCAGCCATGTGCCCAGAAAGAAGAGATCATGAATTTTGGTGATCATCTCTGGCACGTGTGATGTCCTACACTTACGAGTAGGCTGCAACCAGACCCCATCTCATCTTCTTAAAGCAAAATATCTTTGCCCACATAAAAAAAAAAAAATAGGTGCACACACTCTCCTCCACTTGTATGAGCAAAAACATGTCAAGAGAACATGTGTATAATGAAAAATGAGGTTATTTTTCATATCGATTTATGGTGCTGTCTTTTAGCCCGCCTTCAAAATTAAATCTTGCTGCCATCATCAAGACCTCCTTCTAGCTCGTCTCAACATCCTTACGTCTGATCTCTCATCCGTGTATACTGTTCCACCTCAGTGTGAGGACTTACCTCCAGCTTCTTCTAACGGTGGTGTTTATCCCTTCTTCCAAGACCAGACCGTTAACTTTAAGAGAGTCTCCTGAGTGCAGTTGATTAAACATCTTTCTCCCGCTGAATGTGTATGACTACAAACAAAACCATGATGTCCCATGGCAGGTTAATAAAGAAAACCAAACAAAACAACAAAAACTCTTCTTGGCCTTCTTGGAATTTATAGATAAAATCCAAACACTCTAGCTTAGCATGAATGCTAGCCTCCAAGTGTCTTTGTAGACTCACTCCCTCCTGTCGCTCTACCCTGCAGTTTAAGATCCTGCCATCACAGCCTTTTTGTCAGATTCCAGTCCGTATTAGGCCCGTGACTCTATGCCATATCAGTTTCTGACTCTATGTGTTCTTTGTACACGCTTTGCACCTGACTAAAAATCTCTCCCCTGCTTATGTCCTAAGTTACCTTTATTATAAGAAACCAGAAGTAGTATATTACCTCTTCTATGAAGACTTTGTTTATGAATATCACAGGCAGAGTTGACTGATCTGTCCTCTGTGATCCTCAGTACTTTGCTCAGTTTTCTGAAATGGCACCCAGCACATTAGATTGTACCATGAGCTATCTATGAGTTTATCCTCATAAAACTGTCAACTCAATCCAGGAATGGCTGTGTCTTACTTGATTTGATATACTGAACGCCTCCAATAGCTTGTAGTATCTTGTGGGTGCCCACTTACTTTTTCAAAGGAATGAAAATTGAAAGTGAGATAATTTTCCAGGTAAAGCTTTCTTTTAGAGGTAGAGGGCCATTCCAAAATTGAGAATATGGACAGTTTTCTAGAACCTGAATGCATTCTTTCTCTTTGTGATTCTCGAGAAATCATCATCATCATCATCCAACCAGTTTCAACCCATCCTCCCCCCACATACACACCCCCATAGTCTCTTTGCTGGATCTCAGGAATTCGGCAACCAGATGACCCAATTTCACAAGATTACCTTATTTCTCAAGAAGTTCACCAAGTGTTCCAAACTTCCTCCTGAAGCAACATGTCAAACATGTTTTATCTTTGGGACTTTTAGCCAATTTGGTCACTACTTAAAGCCACAAATGAGTCTTTCTGAGATTCCTCTAAGCCAGATGAGGTCACAATGCCACAGAGCTCAAAAGTAATGTTGCTGTATCATCCTAGTACATGCCCCTGGTGAGCAATAACACTTCTAAAGGCTGATTTTCAGCTCTGACTCAGAAACAAGGCTCTGATCTGGGGATAGGAGCGAGTGAGACGTGGGGGCTTGTTTTTCATAAACATTCCCTACTCTTTGTCCGTCTGATAAGTTGTTCGGTACGCGTTCAGACTGTCTGACTGTCTGATCTCTGCTTTTCCTTCCCTCTTGAGCCCATGACCTCTTCCCAGTCTTGGGGCCGTCGGCCTTTCTGAAACCCAAGACCCTCCCCACCTACAAATCATGATTTAAAAACTTTTTAGTGAAGCACAGATGATTTTCTTTTAGGAAGTTCTTTGGGGACCATTAAACTCCCTTATGCTTTATTTCCTTTCTATATGTGATGAAGCATGCATTGGCCCTTTGCACATTTCATTTCTCAGCTTATTATGTTCAGTGTCAGGACTGTAATTTACTTTTATAGATGAGGAAACTAAGGCTGAAGAGTCTCATTCCCAAGGCCACACAGCTAAGGGATAAGTGAGCAACTGAGCCTGGAATCCAAACCCAGTTCTACAGAAATAAAAAGCCTTGCCATTCTGCAAAGGGCTCGTGTTATTGTGACTTTGCCATTTTGATGCCAGGGATATTTTGATGGGGTTCACAGACTGAGGAACAGGGCAAGGCTTAGGCACAGGGTCGGGGATACATCAAGGATTTCTTTTGAGAACGTTATTAAGTAATAAAAAGCAGTGTTCTCATAATTTGCTATGCCATTTTAATATGACTCCATCAAAATGCCCTGCTTTGTTCTGCTAATCCGCTAGCATCTGAATCACAGGGTACACACAATAGTGAAGCTGGAAAGACCCATTTGGAAATGATTTATTTCAGCCCCTTCCTGCTCCTGCTGAGAAGAGGAGGGAAGGGGTCTGCCAGAGGTCACAAGGGCAGTTAGTGAAAGAACCTGGGCAAGAGCCGGGCTTCCTGCCGCACCCGCTCAGGGCTCCACACTCCCCTCGCCCCTCGTTGGCACACAAAGCCCGGCCCACACCGATCTCTGCCTTCAGGACTGGCTCACCGCAAATCATCCCCAGAAGCACGTCCTGGGATTCATGCTCCACGAGGCCTTTTCCCCTCATTTATGCAAGAGTCGAGATTAAAGTCTCACAAAGGCATAAGATTTAACCCCGTTTAATTAACCACTTTATTAAAAAAATAAAATCAGATAAAGTTGGGGACATGGTTGAGAAGAGCAAAAAAATGAAGCAAATTCAGAAATGTGAGGTGGAAAGTACTAAGTATCTTTAAAAGTTTAATTGAAAGATAGTAAAAAAAAATAAGTGAATAATAATAAGGAAGAAAATATTAAGGGTAGGAGCACCTGGGTGGCTCAGTCGGTTAAGCATCTGACTCTTGTTTCAGCTCCGGTCATGACCTCACAGTTCATGAGTTCAAGCCCCATGAGTTCAAGCCCCACTATCAGTGCAGAGCCTGCTTGGGATTCTCTCTCTCTCTCTCTCTCTCTCTTTCTCTCTCTCTCTCTCTCTCCTTCTCTCCCTTCCTCCCTCCCCCCACTCCTTCACTCGCTCTCTCTGTCTCTCTCTCGAAAATAAATAAATAAACGTAAAAATATATTAAGGGTAATGACTATTAAGACATTTAAAAAATATTAAAAGATTAATAAACATGAATTTTTTTTCAAAGGGTATAATTTAAGAACAAATACAGTAAGGTATTAAAACCAGAAACTTAAAGATTTCAAAAAAAATAAAAAAAAATTGTTCTTTAAGGAAAAAAAAGAACAAATACAGTAAGGTATTAAAACTGGAAACTTTTAACGATTTCAAAAAAAATACAAAATAGGTAGTTGGATAAATTCTAAGCTGAAAATCCTGGACTGAGAGCAAACTTGGTCACCGTGCTTTATGCAGAAGGCCAAGGGGTACAGAAATGCATCCCCTTCCTACTATGCACCAGGAATTCGGGAGGCTTCTGAAAATCCAGCACAGACATAGCCACACCTAACCCTGGAAGTCAGTTAGTTCTCTTTGTGCTCGGTGATGCCTCTGCTGTACAACATCCCCTTACCCCTTCAGAAATCGTTGTTCTGTTCTAATGAACTGGATGCTGGCCGTGTGTTATAGATTTGAATTAGAAAAAGGGTTCTGGTCGGTCCGTCAAGTTTGCCTTAACCTTGCCATGCCCCAGTGGTCTCCTGAATAAAATGGGCATAATAAGAGTGCCTAACTCACTGGAGATGGTTGTGAAGATCAGGTGAGATCACTTCCATAGAACATTTAGGACAATACCCCATACGTAGTCACTGCCTGGGCACTTTAGCCGTTTAGTTGTTTACACGGAACGAGTGAGCCCAAAGCCTCCCTGTGACAGGAACCCTGTATCTATTGTGTTCACCCTCGGGAGCACCACGCACGGTGCAGGACACGTAGTGGGAGTTTCCATATTCATTAAGTGAATTAATGTACTGATCTTTCCATTACTTCTCGTCTCCTTTTTTCTTCTCTTATCTCGTTAAAAACACACACACGTTTATTTAGCAACCACTATGTGCCAGACACTCAAAGGGTAGAAAAGTAATAATAAAACCAAGGATTTTAAGCAGGATTGTGGCTGGTCAGGTCAAGTGTGTTTTAGGTCATGTGTAGAGCAGGTTGAAAAGCAGCAAGCTTTGGTTGAAGCAAGTAACAAAGATGGTGTTGACAACAGTAATGACCATGGACATGAAGAGGGGAAAGTGAACAAAAAGTGGGTTCATGAGGCTTCATGATGGAGTCCCAGTGATGGATTAAATAGAAGGAACGAGAAAGCAGGAGTCTCCTCTCTCACTTAATGTACAACTCACTTGCTATGTGATTGACGTACTTTGTGAAGCCTCCTCGGTTTCCCCAGCTTTTACCCGAACATCCTATTGCTGAGTTCTGCTTTTGCATCAGCCATTATACTTTGTGTTTCAGCAGATATAAAACAGTTTTATTAAATTAAGTGGAGTAGAATGGAAAGCCAACCAGCCCAACAGGCACAGAGGTTTTTTGGTTTGTGTTTTTAAACAAAAGGTGAATCGCATATACTGTCTCAAAAACAACAACCAAAAAAAAAAAAAAAGAAAGAAGGAAGGAAAGAAGAAATGTAAAAGGAAGAAAGTGAACCTTAAATTACCCTCTAAACTGGGCCTTAAACCATAAATGTCTATTTCTCTTTAAGAAAGAACCACCTAGACTAATAAATACATATTTGACTCTATTACATTTGTTTTTTGGCAGTTATAGTCAGCAGAAAGAACATTTGCAAAGAGAGAAAGGGTGACTCCTTCCCATCTGGCATAAGAAAAAAGAGAAGTGTAATATGAAAAGTGGAAAGTACATTAAGAATGTACAGAGGGGTGCCTGGGTGGCTCAGTCTTTTGAGCATCTGACTCTTGATTTCTGCTCAGATCATGATCTCACGGATGTGGGATTGAGCCGTGCATCGGGCTGTGCATTGAGTGCCTGCTTAAGATTCTCTTTCTCGCATACAGACGATGTGGAATATTACTCATAATATTCACAATGGAATATTACTGAACAATCAAAAAGAATGAAATCTTGCTATTTGCAACATGTGACTTCATTCATATATGGAATTTAAGAAACACAATAGATGAACATAGGAGAAAGGAAGGAAAAACAAGATAAAAACTAGAGGGAAGCAAACCATAAGAGACTCTTAAATACAAAGAACAAACTGAGGGTTGCTGGAGAGGAGGTGGGTGGGGGGATGGGCTAAATGGGGGATGGGCATTGAGGAGGGCACTTGGGATGAGCACTGGGTGTTGTATGTAAGTGATGAATCACTGGGTTCTACTCCTGAAACTAATGCTACACTATATGTTAACTAACTTGAATTTAAATTAAAAAAAAAGAAAGTAAAAATTAGAATAAAGATTCTCTCTCTCCCTCCCCCATCCCTCCCCCACCCCTGCATGTGTACATTCTCTTTCTCTCTCACTAAAAAAAAAAAAAAAAAAAAAATAGAAAAGAAAAAAGAATGTACAGAAATGTTACTTGAGTTTTAAACTTGTCTTAAATAGTTTTATGCTGACTCTAAGTATTTATTGAAAATCTACACCCAATTTACTTGTTTATTAGTGCGCATTTTACATTAAAGCCACAGCCTAATATTAAGTCATTTGACACTGACATTCGACATACTAAAACGATGTCCTTCTCCTATGCTCCTGCTACTTTTTCCAAGATTGGAAGTTTCAAGGAAAATGTTCAATAAAGAGCTACTTTCCTCTTAAGGCTATATAAATCTGTGTCTTCATAACTAAATTCTTGAAATTTGTCCCTGAAGAATTTCTCAGATTTGAATAGTCAATTCAAAGCTTTTTGTTTTTTTAAGGATGAGGGCTATAAATGATAATTTTAATAGATTTGCTATATTAAACATAAATTTGGATTCCATTACAGTGTAGGCGATAGCAGATTGATTTTTTTTAATTCTTATTTTGGGGGTGCCCGGGTGGCTCAGTTGGTTGACCATTCGACTCTTGATTTCATCTCAGGTGATGATCACACAGTTTTGTGAGTTTGAGCCCCGCTCTGCTAGCACAGAGCCTTCGTGGGGTTCTCCCTCTCTCTCTCTGTCCCCTTCCCCCTTGTGCTCTCTCTGTCTCTTTCAAAATAAATAATAAACAAAAAAACTCCTTATTTTGAATTGCAGCCAATTAGTGAACATGGGGATCAAATTCATGTAAACCCAGTGTGATAAATGCAAGAGCCAGTATCTTCAATATGCTGACAGCAAGT